GATGCCTGAGGTTCCTTTGATTTCTTCAAGAGGTCCACCAGGTCAAGACAATTTTTGTAATAATACTAATGTTATTTACATTTTTTACTGTGTTGAAATTTGCACTGAGGGTACCAAAGTTTCATAGAAGGTATGGTATTTGAAGGATGTAAGATTTCAATGCAGACAAGTAAAAGGCAGAAGCACTAAAATTAGACTCTACTTAGGGTAGAAAATGGGTGGATGTGCTTAACAAAGAGCATTATTTCAAGTAAAAAAGAGAGACAGAGACAATGACAAACAGGTAGTATGAGATACTATTATGAAAGGTTTTTATGGTCACAGAGATTTTGTACTTAATGGAACCACTGACAGTTTCTCAGTAGCAAAATCATTTGGTTAGTCCTGAGATGGTAGCAGTTCATAGAATTAAATGGAGTGTTAAGAGGAACGTGAGTTTTGAAAGTGTTTCAGATGGGAAAAATTTCAGGAACTTACATGTAGAGAACATTTCCTTAAAGATGGCCATCAGCTTCCCAGGAAATAAGACCAGGGACAGGTATCACTATATTGTTAGAAACTAAGAGAATTTCACACTTAAGTCACAGGACAAAGTGAGTTATGAGAGATCATGTCCCAGGTCATACAAATTAATGTTAACAGCAGATGGAGAAAACAAATTCAGAATTCCCTCCCTCCAGATATGTTACTTGAGATGCTATTTCCTCTCTTTTAAAAATTTCTGAAAGATAATTATCAGGATAAAAAGAATAAACTCTCAAAAATATGATCGTATGCTGAGCATGTAAAATGGGTAACTGTGCAAGCCATCATATTATACAATTGAAGCCAGAAAAAAATGCTTGTGCATTTACCTCATCTACTAACTCAAGAGACACAGTAACATTTTAAAAACTCTAACTGTGGAAAATATTATTATAAAGTTATTTCTGGGTGCCTCATGAAGATAGGAAGGCCACCTTAGACACCAAACTTCAAGGGAAAAAAATAGTTATAAAATTAATTTTCCTCTCTGACCATTCACTGTCTAACAGTGAGTATACTCTAGGACATTCTCCCTCACCTAAAAAAATATGTTCATTCTCTCTCTCTCGCCCTCTCTCTCTCTCTTTCTCACACACACACACACACACACATGCACACATCTAAATACTGACCTGAACTATTCCGCTGGCCATACTGCTATTGTGATATGGTAACAAAATATCCTTGAGAACACAAAGAAACTGGGGATATCAAAATGTAAGAGAACAAGACAGTCTTTGCCTTTTCCTTCTCAGTTCTCCACATATACATACTTTCTATTATTCAATTCCTCTTTGAAAGAGCTACTCCAGACAAAGAATTTCAAATATGACAAGAAATATGAAAATGTGAAAAAATATTAAAATATTCATGTTAAGCAAAAGACAAATGATTTTGGTCCTTTCTCAGAAAAACCTTCCTTCCTCTCAAATTCTTTCTCTAGCAAGGGCAAATTTTACACCCAGCTCTGTTTTGTCACTAATGTAGTGTTCCATGAAAAAACTATCATGCATTTTGGGGATCATAAACACAAATACTGGGCAATCTATTTTGATTTTTGTAGAAAACCAGATGAAGTAGTTTTAGAAGTCATACTTATCTGCTTGTAGGAAATATAATGCTTGGTGAATGCAACTAATTTCTTAAAGTATAGCTTCAAAAAGAGAGCTTTATTTTAAACAACATAGAAACACAGTGTTGATGGAAGCAATATTGAAGATGACTGTCAGTTACCTCATTGATTTTGAGTGGTACATGGTAAAGTGGTTCTATAGTGGAATGGTAGGATCAACTCAATCCATACTGAGAGGAGTATAAAGTATGGAGTTGTGCTGATATATGATAGCTATTGCATAAATGGAAGCCACTGCATTATAGAGCATATATAAACAGTAACAATTATTAAGGTCTCTTTTTTAGTTTTTAAGCACAGAAAAACAAAACAATACGGAAGATAAAATAGGGAACACCCATCCAGGATAGCTCTGTCTTCCAACTATTGCAACTTTTTCTTATGACTACACGATCTTACTCATTTAAATAACTATACAATGCTAGGGGAGACGTTATGGCCAAAATAATACTGGCCATTTTCTCTCCATAATCTGAAACCTATTTTAAAAATCTTTCTTTTATAACACTCCTTGGAAAAATATGAAATTAGTTATCAAAGACATAATAATTGACATGGAAAATAATGACTCTAAAGATTATAAAGACCCCAGGATTATAAAGCACCAAATGTTTCCAGACAGAAAAAAAATTTTAAAGCATAGATAAACAAAAAAGAAAAACTAAAAGCTACATAGAGATACAAATAGTTAAGCCAGGCAGTACATAATTCTAGACTTTTATAACACATAATATAGACGATTAATGTGTATATGTACTAGTAAGAAGCATGTTCACCAGACTACTGATGTTCCTGTAAATAAATGCTTTTAGTGTTCCACTAATTAAACCTATAGAGGCTGTTGAATTTCAAAAGATGTCCCTTATTATGTTATTGAAATATTATACTATTTATAAGTTTTGTTTTTAATCAAGAAGGCAGGCCGTATGTTATAAAATGCCTTTCTATCATAGAATACATCAAAACTTTTTGACCTAGTTATGTTATAAATTATGCTAACAGATTTTTAAAACTGTTGAACCATCCTTGCATTTCTGGAATAAATCCTACATTCTAGGATGAAATTATTCTCTTAAAACACTTAGAATTTATATGTTAATATTTTGTTTATTTTATTTTTTATCCATAATTATGAGATGAATTTTGGTGGGTGCTAGTTTTGGCAGACTTTGGTGTCAAGATAAAGCTAGACAAAATGACATCATTTTCTAGAGGTCCTATTAAGAACAACAAAGAGGGAAGTAAAAAATGTAGAGAAAAATACATAGATACACACGAACATGTCCATAAAGTTCGTGTGCAATTTAAAATAGTTTAACACAGTAAATTGCACATAAACTTTATAGACACTGTGTGTGTGTGTGTGTGAATACCAGAATGGTGTGAATAGCATTACTATTACTTTTGATAAAGTAAAAGTAATAAAATTGCAGATAGGACAGAACCTTTAAAAAGTGAGCTGAGACTCTACAGCTGTCGTCCCTGGGGCCATTTGCCAAAGCTAGGCATGCACAACTGACTGAGAATCTTCATACTTGGCAGACAATAACTACCAGTGGTAAAAAACAAAACAAAACAAAACCAACCAAACAAAAAAACCCATGAAATTGCTGCTGTTTCCAAAGGGATAGAGTTCCACAATCAGAGAATTGAGGATGGCATTTCCCTTTAATATATTTTCTAAATTCTAAAGCTACACAGAAGAGGAAAATCAAAATTTAAGCAAAAACCTTTGAAAAACAAAAGTGAAATTTCCAGTGTTTCAGAGAAAAAGACTCACTGGTGGAAAAACGCATAAAATGGTGGGAGCTGTCTTACTCATTTGGGCTGATATAAAAAAAAAAAAATACCATAGATTGGGTAGCTTATAAATAACAGAATGTTAACAGAGCTTTGGAAGATAGGAATTCCTAGATCAAGGTGGCAACAGATTCAGTGTCTGGTGAGAACCCCCTTCCTGGCTCATAAAAGGAGTCTTCTCACTGCATCTTGACATGGTAAAAGAAACAGGGCAGCTCTCTGAAGCCTCTTTTATAGTGACAGTAATCTTTTTGTGAGGACTCCACCCTCACAGTCTGTCATCTCCCAATGTCTTCCTAATGTCATCAAATTGGTTATTAGGTCCAAAATATGAATTTGGAGGGGTACACAAACATTCAGATCATGGGAAGAGCTGAAAGCTCTTGATGGAGTGGTGAATTGACAGTGACAATCACCAATAACTATTATTACTATTGGTAATTGCTAATCTGAGTACCGCTAAGACTCTCTCTCAAGACATTTGCCAAATTCTATAGCTAAAGGTAAGAGGCAGAATAGATAAGGGTTTTCTGAAAAGCAGAAATCTCTATAGTCCTCTTTGGAGGAGATAATGACATGGTAAGCTCTTATTAAAAGTTTTTCAGAACAATACCTTAGTAATAGGAGCAAACCAGTGGTTTACTACAACTATAGCCCAGTCATAACCCAAATGAGTCCATGATTGAACTAAGGTGCTTCAAACCACAATCACTTGTCCATTCTGCCTACTTAGTAAAGGAGTCCATAATTGAACTAAGCAGCTTCAAACCACAATCACTGGTCCATTTTGCCTACATAGTAAAGAATAAATCTTTTCTGGTGGGAGACATCACTTAGAATCTCTACATATTTTAGACATAAGGTCTAATATCAACCAAAAAATACTAGGAAAAGACAGGACCACAAGACTGAAAACCACCAGAAAAATAAAATAAAGTTACTGATATGTAGGTAAAAGATACATAAGAATTAGTATAGAATGACTTTAAATGATTATGACTAATATGTTCAAGAAAATAGAGAAAAGATAGACAAATTAAATAAAAAGTTCCATCACAGAATTTCAGTTTATATAAAAAAATTAAAGGATATTCTATAACTAAAAGATACATAACTGAAACTCTAACTTGTAAATTTCTTTTTTTATTTCTATAAAGGCTTGCATAATATCTTTGTGCTAATTACCTTGGCAATAACAGAAATGTAAGTAGATATTATACTAGAGACCATTTTTAGAATAAATAAAATGCAAAAGTCAATTAAGGGCAGCACCTGTGGCTCAGTGAATAGGGTGCCGGCCCCATATACCAAGGGTGGCGGGTTTGAACCCGGCCCTGGCCAAACTGAAAAAAAAAAAAAAAAAGTCAATTAAGAACAGTGAAAGAAGCCTCTTAATGTCATTATAGCTTAATAAATATAGCATGAGTTTTTGTATACTGGAAATCTTCCTGGCTAGTTACAACAGAAATATCTTACACCAGACTATGATTTTAAGGGAACTTCTTTCTATACAAAGGGCAAAGTAAGAGCAGCTGTCACTTACAGGAAGGTGTGTGAAGACAGCAAAGGTGCTACGCAGAAAGGCAATGAGGTCCACTAGGTAATCACTAGCTTTGTTTCCCAAATCTCCTGTCATCCAGTCATAGTCTGCCAGCTGTAGAAACTGGTCAATCTTCTGGTTTAAGTTGGTATAAATCTCTTCTTCAGCTGCATGTCTAGCATCCTGTGAAATAAGATAAAATAAGAAAAACTGTTCATATTCCCAGTATTAACAGGGTAGAAATTTATATGAGCCTGGAACTATTCCATACTTACAGTCATTAAGTAACATAATTGAGAATACTTAGTTATATCACAGTCTCCCTTAACTTTTCTTTTTTCCAAACCACTCTGTAATCTCTTCTATATTTTTGTCTACAAGAAAAGCTGTTACTGGGTGGCACCTGTGGCTCAAAGGAGTAGGGCGCCAGCCCCATATGCTGGAGGTGGCAGGTTCAAACCCAACCCTGGCCACAAACTGCAAAGAAAAAAGAAAAAAGAAAAAAGAAAAAGAAAAGAAAGAAAAGCTGTTACTTTGCTTTACTAAATACGGAAACTGCTTTTACTGCCCTCAATTCCGTATCTTTCTTTACTTTCTCATATCTCTGTTCAAAATTAACTTGCTCTCAGGAGTCTAATCACTTTCATCTTACTGGGATACTAAGCAGCTTCCTTCCTCTACTTATCCTCTACATATCCTCTAGTTCCTCCACAATGCTTATACATATCCTAAAATATAGATTGGTACACTAAGAAGTTTCCTAAAATGAGTTTTAAGTTAACAATAATCCTAAATGATGCAAAAAAAAAAAAAAAGGAAAGTGTTCCTAGATTACGTAAGTTTGAGGTACCCTGTATAAGAGATTCACACTGGCATACTAAAAAAAGGCTCTGAGAGGCAGAGTGGGATTAATGTTCTTACAAAAATGTACAAATGAGTACACATTACACCAAGGCAGTCATTATCTCAATACTAAAAATCCATCAACCTAGACTGGTTCAGAGTAACCCATGGACTATTTTCTATCACATTATCCATTTTCAGTCCAATCTTATTTAATCTCTATTTAACATTTTCTACTTAAACTGTGGCTCTCCATGGCTTTCATAAAATACTTTTCTCCTGGCTTTCCTTTCATTTCTTTGGCTATAACTATCACTTCACTTGAGTAACAACTTCCATTGTCTCTGTTTTCAATACAGATCTACTCCAAACCCATTCTAATTCAAGAACCATATATACGACTCCTTCATAGCTACCTTGGACTCATATAAAGTTTTAAATAAGTAGGTCCAGTTCTAGACTCATCATATCGCTACTCTTTACCTATTCAGTTCAGATCAAGGCAGTGATCTAAGGAACATACCGGATCCCAGTTTTTCCTTAATAATCACAAAGTACAATAAATTCTAACTCTCTAATCTAATCTCTCAAAATTACTCTCTAATCTGTCCCATCCTTTACATTTTAGCTTTTTTAATGACTGCGTAATTTTGCAATATATTAACATATTATAATATAGTTAATGACTATGTGTACTTACATAAATAATGCCATTTAAAATTTTTTAGTTGACAAAAATTGCATATTTATTATGTACAATGTGATGTTATAAAATATGTACACATTTTATACTAGCTAAATTGATATAATTAACATATGAATTATATCACATACTTCATTTTTCAGGTTTTTAAAAATCTACTTTCACCATGAATTTTAGGAAGGGAAGGAAGTCAGTGCCAAGCATTATTATTTTTTTTAATATCAGGTCCAGCCAAGGCTCAAAGTTGCCGCCCCCACTTGCCACCTCTGGTTTGCAGGGCCAGCGCTCTAACTACTGAGCTATGGGACCCAGCTCCAAGTATTATTTTTAACTATAGATACTGCGTTGTACAATAGATCTATTGAATTTATTCCTGCTATCTAAATGGAATTTTCTATCCTTTTGCCAAAAACTCCCCAATACCCTCCCTCCTTTAGCTCCAGTAACCAATATTCTACTCTGTTTCTGAGTACAACACTTTTAGATTCACATATAAGTGAATCACATATAAGTGAGGTCATACATATTTACCTTTCCATTCCTCCCTTATTTCACTGAATATAATATAACTCAGATTTATCCATGTTGATACAAATGACAAGATTTCCTTCATTTTTAAGTCTGTAGTGTTCCACTGTTCATACATATCTCATTTTCTTTATGCCTTCACCTGTTGATGGACACTTTGATACATTGATCCAGTATCTTGGCTACTGTGAATAATGCTGCAATGAACATAGAAGTGCAGATATCTCTTTGACATCCTGATTCCATTTCCCCTAGATATATACTCAGTGGTGGGGTTGCTGAGTTACATGGTAGTTCTATTTTAATTTTTTTGAAGAACTTGCATACAGTTTCCTGTAATAGCAACACTAATTTACTTTCCCACCAACAGTACAACAGTTCCTATTTCTCCACATCCTCTGCAACAATTCTTATTTTTTGTCTTCTGATAATACCATGCTGATAGGTGTTAGATGATATCTCACTATGGTTTTAGTTTGCATTTTTCTGATAATTAGTGATGTTGAGCATTTTTACAGAATTTTTATAGAGGCCTAGCCCTAAGCAAATGCTACTACAATGGGTTCACACCACTGACTCCCAGGTACACCACTGCTTCAAGGGAAGAAAGCCAGTACCATGCAAGTTGCAAGCACCCTCTCCACCCAAGGGAAGTTTCCCCCACAGCTGCCAACAAGAATAGGCACAGAGTCCAGCTACCAACATTGGAAGAATTTATCCTAGAGACACCATCAGGAGACATGAGGTGGGAGAAAATGGTAGATTAGAAGCAGCCCACAAGCAGAGGCAGCTCCGAAGCAAAGAAGAGTAGATAGGAAGTAGATGCCTATCTATGGACAGTTATTCTCAGAAGAAACATTGTGAAACCACAGAAAAACAGTGCAAGACTCTCGGTATGGATAAAAAAAGGTGACAGGGATACAATATCAAAGTATGTACGGGGCAGATCAGCAAGATAGAGCACTGGGGTACTGTGTTCATCCAGCAGGTGGTATGACTAAGTTGAGAGATGACTCTCTCCACCTTCACAAATCAGGCACCTCCCTGGATTCTGTGCAAAGTCACTGCATCAGACAACAGGTGTGTGGGGATCAGGTAGTAGCTAATGAACTCTCAGTGCATGGGGGCAAGGCAGCACAGTACTCAGCTTTGTGGCTGCACCCTTCACATTGCCCCCACCATAATAGGGAGGGAATAGAATGATGGGACATTCCTTTAAGGTATACCTGATGGCTGGAAGCCAAATGCCCCTCCCCAACAGAAAAATGGGATCTAGGCACTTTAGCTCCAACCTGAGAGGCTTTGGGTGATTGCTTCAGATGGTCCCAAGGAGTCCATTAAGAACTCTGTGATCCCTGACTGCCAAAACCAACCTTTTCCCACTTGACTTGGCATCTGGTCCCAAGCCCATGAAACAGACTGGCACCTGGATGACGCTGATTCTGTCCACCAGGTCCCAAATGCCTGCTGTCTACTCAGCCCTGACCCCATCCTCCAGGAGCACCATTACCACCACAGCCTGCTCACAGGCTCTGCTTCTGGCTCCTACTCACTCTCCACACTGAGGCTCACAAACCAGAGCCCAGGGCTCTGCCTCTATGATTTGAGAGCTTCCACCAGACTCTGGACATCTCCAGGGGAGTCTAGTGTTCCTCTAGTTCTAGAACCCAAAACCACAGAAAAGATCCACCACTCCAAAGTCCAACACCCTGCCAGAGACCCCAGGCTTTTGAGCCACCAAACACTCACAGCCCAGAACTCATGACCCCTGCCTGAATAGCCTCTCTTAGCTGCAACTGTCACATCTGTGTGGAGACCCTAGATAAAGCAATCCCCACAACACCAGCCTCAGTGAAGAGGGTCTTGCTCAACTCCCAACTTAAACATCCTAGGATTACCTGATGAATAGCCCAACACCCAGCACAACAGGATCCAGCAAAGGCTTAACCAGAGGCAATCACAGGTGAACAGATCACATCAGAACAGCTGCATTACAGACTTCTAGTGCACACACCTCTCCCTTGCTGTGATAACATTTCCAGAGATGGACGAAAAAATACCATTCAGGACCTGCCCATTCTTCTAATTAAACAGGAGAGTTCCAGCAAGGAACAGGTGCCCTATAAACCTATTAGCCTTAAAATAAGAAAACAGGCTTCAAATGAAAAGAAACCAGCAAAAAAACTCTAGCAACATGAAAAATCAAAACAGGTTGACACCCCCAAGGGATCATATTAAAGCTATCGTTGTGAACCCAAACTACAAGAAAATTGTCAAAATGACAGAAATGGCATTCAGAATCTTGATGGCAAATAAAACAGATGAAATTGAAGAGAAAGTTGAAAACCAACAAAGGAAACAAAAAATATTTCGGGAACTTAATGAAAAAGGCACTGAAGAGCTAGGGAACATAAGGTAGTATATGATAGAACAAAAAGAAATAAGTCATTTATGTAACTTCAGAACATAGCAGAAAACATCAGCAATAGACTAAACCAAGAAGAAGAAAGAGTCTCAGAACATAAAGACAAGACTTTCAAGCAAAGCCAATCATACAAAGAGGCAGAGAAGAGAACAGAAATTACTACAAGAGATATGGGACTAGGTGAAGTGGACTAACATATGAATTATAAGTATCCTTGAGGGAGAAGAAAACAAAGCTAAAAGCATGTAATCTATTTAAGGGAATAATTGAGGAAAACTTCTCCAGTATCACCAGACATATAAAATGCAGATACAAGATAGTCATCAAACTCCAGGAAGGTTTATATCAAATATTATATCTCCAAAACACATAGAAATGAACCTGGTCAAAGTCATAATGAAGGAGAAAATTCTATAAGCAACTAAATGTAAGCAACAACTGAACTACAAAGGAATTAATAAACTTATTCAGGAACAACTGAACTAATGAGTTCATTAAGCTTACAGCAGATTTCTCAGTGAAAACTATATAAACCAGAAAAGAATAAGTCTACCTCTTCAATATTCTTAAATAGAACAACTGCCAACCTAGAATTTTGTATCCTGCAAAACTAAGTTTCAAAATTGATGGAGAAATTCTTTTCCAGACAAGCAAACACTGAAGGAATTTGTCATAACCATACTT